TGAAAGATCAGACAATCTACCCGAGGCACTACATACCTTGAAATATCTATATATATTTTACTAAGAATGTTAAATGAATAGTGACCTGTGAAATAAAGATCAGTATGCTGTGACATAGTATTTTCATAATCAGAAGAATGAATATATCATTTGCTTCAGCTAGATGAAAATTTAACACTTCAAGGCTATTTCGCTTTCAGATTACTTTTGTCAAGATTCCAAAGATCCATAACATTTAAATAAATATAGTGTTTCTTCAGATTACAACAGCTAACTACTTATCAGATTGTTTGTCATTTATTTATGACCAAAAAATATCTTTCTAATCTCTGCTTAAAGGTTGTTCAAAAAGCGATTCTTAATTCAGAGTCATTTAGTGGCTTTCAGGGTGTTGAACAAACAGCACATAAAGTTGAGGGTCATTTTTCATTAGCAGCTTCCAAACAGGAACACGTACTGAATATAATCATAGGACAGAATCACAGAATGGTTTGGGTTGGAAGGGACCTTAAAGACCACCCAGTTCCACTCCCCTGCCATGGGCAGGGACACCTTCCACTAGACCAAGTTGCTCAAATCCCCGTCCAACCCGGCCTGGAACACTGCCAGGGATGAGACATACACAACTCTGGGCAACCTGTTCCAGTGTCTCACCACCCTCACAGTAAGGAATTTCTTCCTTATACTTAATCTAAACCTACCCTCTTTCAGTTTAAAACCGTTACCCCTCGTCCTGTCACTACACTCCCTGATAAGAGTCCCTCCCCAGCTTTCCTGTAGTCTCCTTCAAGGACTGGCAAGCCACTATAAGGTCTCCTTGTAGCCTTCTCTTCTCTGGGCTGAACAACCCCAACTCGCTCAGCCTGTCCTCACAGGGCAGGTGCTCCAGTTCCCTGATCACCTTTGTGGCCTCCTCTTGCTCATGCAGGTTCATGTCCTTCTTATGCTGGGGCCCCCAGACACAGCATAAGACCAGGTGGGGTCTCACAAGAGTGGAGTAGGTGGGAAGAATCCCCTCCCTTGACCTGCTGGCCACACTTCTCTTGATGCAGCCCAGGACACAGTTGGCTTTCTGGGCTGTGAGCACATATTGCTGGCTCACAGTCAGTTTTCCATCCACTGATACCCCCCAAATCCTTCTCCACAGGGCTGCTCTCAATCCACTTTCTGCCCAGCCTGTATTTGTGCTGGGATTGCCCTGACCCACACGCGGGACCTTGCACTTGGCCTTGTTGAACTTCATGAGGTTTGCACAGGCCCACCTCTCCAGCCTGTCCAGGTCCCTTGGATGGCACATCCCTTCCCTCCAGTGTGTTGACCACACCACACAGCTGGGTGTCATTGGCAAACTTGCTGAGGGTGCACTCAGTCCCACTGTCCATGTTGCTGACAGAGATGTCAAACAGCACCAGTCCCAACACCGACCCCTGAGGAACGCCACTCCTCACTGGTCTTCACTTGGGCATCGAGCCACTGACCACAACTCTTTGAGTGTGACCATCCAGCCAGTTCCTTCTTACTGAGTGATCCATCCATCCATCCATCCATCCATCCGATCCATGTGTCTCCAATTTAGAGACAAGGATGTTGTGCAGGACAGTGTCAAATGCTTTGCACATGTCCAGGTAAATGACATAAGTTGCTCTTCTGTTAACCACCAACGCCGTAACCTCTTCATAGAAGGACACTAAATTAATCAGGCATAATTTGCCCTTAGTGAAGGCATTAAACATAAATCACATTAAAGATGTAATTTATGCCCATAACTCGGATATTTTGGGTGCAATTCTTGCCTCCTGAAAATTAACAGCAAAACTCCCATTAACTTCAGTTTAGCCAAATTGTCAGCACTGATTTCTAAAACACTCATACAATGACCTTCTAGAATTAAATTCTGAGAATACATCATAATACTAAAAAAAATAGATTTTGCTATTTGATTATTATACATTCTGTCAGGTATTTAAAACTGTACATTTCCTTTGAATTAATTTATTTGCAAATAGCACAGGTTATAATAATAATTACTGTTATTAAAATAGCTTTTTGTTAAGAAATATTTTAATGGTTGATCTTTAAAACAGATCTACTTTATGCACCCTTTGATAGTATTAGTCACTGAGAAGGGTACTTAAATTATAAGGAGTATCAAATAACTTGCAGGTTTGAAACAAATAAGAGGCAGTACTTAATCACAGAGCAGGTGTTCAATCCATGGGCTTCACATCAGTTCAAAAAGCTGTTAGATAAATGCATGCAATAAATATGCATCATGAATAATTACATGCAGACATACATGTGTGGTTTAGGAAACTCCTGAACGTACAGAGAATACACAAAGGGATGGTAAACCAAGGAAGTATCACTTCCCATATCCCTAGATAAGTTACCTCAATAGCTCATCAGCCTGATTTAAAAACCCCCACCTTATTTAAGTTATAAATTAATTCTAGCTTTAGCTTCAGCTTACGCCATGTCTTTCCTTTTAAGCCTAAAAATATATTTACTATCCAAAATATTTTCACTAAAGAGATTCTTATAGTCTTGATTTGATTGGATCAGTCCTCTAATTTCTTTTTTTTTTGTTGTTGTTTAACAGAGTATTTTAATGTCTCCTTATAAGGCATGTTTTCTGTAACTTGTATAGTTAATGTTTCTCAAGTCTTCTAAATTCCTCAGTATCCTTTTTGAAGTGTGGGCACCAGAAGTAGATACATTATTTCCTTCATAATTTTCCTAGCCCTCTATTCTGAAATATAACAAGCCTTGTATTTGTTTTAGATAATATCCTGCTTCAAGGATATCCTGCTTCATTCACCTTCTTACGTAAAGCATTGTTGTAGGACATAATCTTCATCTGATTACTTTCTATGACTCCTCAGTCCTTTTCAGTCACTGCTTTCCAGGACAGCATCTCCATTTTGTAATTATGACCTGCATTAATCCTTCACTGGTGAATAAATTCGCATTTCTTTGTATTATAATATGTGGTGTTTGAAAGGATCCCTTTCACCAAGAAACTGAATGACTGGTCCGTCTCCAACTATCATGTTGCCCCTAAAGACTTGATTAAGGGTGATCATCATCTCAACTTGTCCCTGAAAAGCAATAGAATATCATAATGTTTTAGTGTTAATCTAGACCCAACAATAAGATGAAGGAATTAATTTAATTTAAATATTTCCATAATGACAAGGTGTCGTTTCACATGTTTATGGCCATGTAAGGTTCATCATTGCACCATGAGACTCGAACTTCGCCTGACCAAGGCTACTTCACAAGAGGTTAATAGCTCATTGATAGAAAAGTTAAGCACTAGTACGGATTGTTTATTGCCAAGAGTTGAGAGGAATCTTAATAAAAGGTGTTAAAAGTTCCAAAGAGGTGGGGAGTAGGTAGTCTGAGGAAGATGGAGATCAATATTTTTTATTAAAGGGGAGAATAATAATATTTTTATCTAAATAGTACTTCTTCAGGGAAAGGGGAATCACATATTCCAAATCAAGATGCTCTTCTGTGAAGACAGACTCAAAAATGTAGTGTTTTTTTCAGAAGAAATATGTTTTTAGCCCCTTGATTTGATAGTCACTGATGTCTTGAAAGCTGGACAATCTAGAGAAGCTGCTTGTAACTGAGGTAAGGATAGGCAGATGTAAGCAGTTTTCTGTTTTCTCTTACCAGTCTTTGTAACCTTTGTAACTCTGTTTCTGTATTTGAAGCTGCTGTAAATATATTACTTTCTTTTACCTTTATTAGGCTTTTCTCAAGAGTGTATTTAGAGTAAGCGTCTAACAGGACAACCTATCCCTTTGTGTAAGGCCTTCTTTAAAACTGAATTATTGTACTATTTCTTCAGGGTATAGAATCTATTTGAAATTTTCAGAGCATCCAAAGGACAATAAAATGTGTCTCTGTTAAAGAGCATTGATTATTTTGGAATTTTCAGTTTTGTCTATGTAGAAGATGCACCCCATTTTGCCTGCTACAAGATGGTAGGAATACTACCTTTGAACACTGTGATGGCAAAGTTTGCAGCACTATAACTTTAGCAACCTGAGCAATCTGTAAATTTTACCAGTGATAATAATAAATTTTATTCCAGATTATGAATAAAATTATGAACTCCCCATTGGAATAAACCAAACAAATATTTTCCTAGATGATGAGTGAATGCTGAGATCCAACAATTCATTATTTTTTAAAGTATTTAATTTTAACTTTTATATAAGTGGTGCATTTCTAGAAAGAAAGCTAGGCAGAACTAAGACAAATACTTTACAGAATACTATCTTGTCAACCTAATTTATAATTGCATCATATAACTTTGCAAAATAAACTTAGATAAAACTTAGCCTTGTGTGTTAATTGCATTAATTGAATTGCCATCTTCTATCAGCTTATATCATGGAAAAAAATATTAACAGCTTTTACTTTTCAGAGACTTTTTTTTACTCTTGGAACATCCACTTTAGCATATACTAACACACAAATTAGCTTATTTTTCTTACAACCATAAGGAAAAGGTCTTCTGTTAACATAATCTTTGTTTTAAAATAAGCTGCTTGCAGCATGTGGAAGGTCATGGGGCAATTTGGGAAATTCTGAATGGAAGTTTGTGGTATCTTAAGACCTTGAAGTCTTGGATTGCATGAAAGTTATAGAATTCTGAGGATCTGTGCCGCAGGGAATTGAATTTGGGGATTTAGGGATAAGGTGTAAGAACTAAATTTGTGCTAAAAGTGCTAAATTTGCACAAGTTTTATTTTATCTCCTGTTGAATACACATAATGATTCTTGGTTCTCTTTTTAAAAAGCTTTGAGATCCTCATGTGATATGTAACTACACAAAAAGCACTTTTTAATTCATTAATTTTTTGTACAGAAGTGGTAGGACTCAAGCTCTTCAAAAACAGTCTTGGTGTTGAATATCTACAGCTAAGTATGTCTGTTCTACATAATGTATTTTGGGTTTTAAATACAAAATCTCTTTTCTCTTACAGACAAGTTGATCAGGATTCTGATGGCTGCATCAGCTTCAAAGAGTTTGAATCTGCAATGAAGTATGGACAAGATGAAGTATCACCAGTGTACTTTGCCTAAAGAATATTCTCTGGTGAAAAGACAAAGTGAAAACTTCAGATCTCTAGATATTTAAAAATCAATGAAACTTCATTTATTTCAGCCAGCATTTTAAGAACTTTGACTGTAAGTGTAGCTCAGAAGAACAGCCTTTGAAGCCTTACTGTTGACAAGTCGGGTGTATTAATTTACATGTCTATGTGTGTGTAGAATACTTAAAATATTTGAAATCTCAATTGATTCCCAATCACCCTAGTTAGGAACTGCAACTCTGTACTTCTTTTTGACTTAAGAGATGAGAAAGGACCAACTTGGATTTCTAGTTACCGTGAAATTTATTTGTTCACTCTTTCAACAGCCCTTTGTTGACAGACCAAAATATCTCACATGTATAGTAACTGATTAAATTTATGGCAGATAATGCCTGCTTTTTCAAAATCAATAATTTGTTTGTCTTTCCTTTATTGTTTCACTTTCATATATTGTTCTTTTTTATATATTACACATTATTTTTAATTTAATATTTGTTGGTTATTTAGCTACACGATTTAATTCTGAACAGTTATCAAGAACTGTATATGTAAGGAAGTAAGTATAAATATTTAGCTTTTTAAAAAATAATTTGAATGGAGTTAAGAACGGATCTTTAACGTGTACATCATTGTTGTGGTTTGAGCACAAAGGGCAACTGAGCACCATGCAGTCACTCACTCCTCTGTTACCAAAAACCCCACCACACACACACAAACCCAGGACAGTCATAGACCTCAGTCTTGCAGGCTGAAAATTCTCTGTATTCAAACCTTCAGCTGAGTTTTAGAGAGGAATTTGGATAGATATATATATATATAGATATATAGATATATATATATATATATATACACTTTATCGAGAGCAGAGAATTTCCCAAGAGCTGAGGGGAAGTGTAAGGTAGAATCTGTCATTGTCTACAAAGCTATCTTCCCTTCTCTCGCTCTTATCCAGTAACTGGGAGATGTTCTTGCCTGCTGTAACTTATATAAAACCAACCCAGCTGTGCTATAGTGAGATAAATCTTTCTTATTCAATTTATTTTATCTGTTATCACTCACTTCCTAGTGCTTTTGTGTGTTTATATTAATAGTAACAGATAATAGAGATTTCATTATGGGCACTGTCTCAGATCATATGGTCCACTCTACTGCTTCATCTCTGCTTACCTGCCAGTTGTTATATTGCTTGGATTAGAGATTTATTTTGAAACTCTCCAGAAGCGATCCCCTCCTCAAGTGAGCCCACAGACTGTAGCACATACTTAATACAGCTGTAAATAAATAGCAAATAACAAATAATAATGATCAGTAAGAGGAAGAGAGTATCCATTCTACTCTTAAGTCAAGAGAGTCTCCAATTTCTTTCAAATTTTTGTGAGGCATTCCAGAGTACAATTTACAGGTGAAGCATATATAAAATTATGCCTATATTTTCTGTTCCCATTACATGTATGTATTTCACTAGGTACAGGCAAAGTGAAACCTTTCTTTTTTTTTTTTTTTTTCATTCCAAAGCAGATAATATATAAATAATGGGAGGAAGTTGGAGACACTGAATATATCAGCAGATATATCTGATTCTATATATAAGAACCAGATATCCCCTAGATGAGCTGTAAGTTGTATAGCATGCTTGATGTGCTCATCAGTGGGAACGAACTGGTGTTACCTTTGAAAGACATGCTAACATATTGGAGATTTTACCTTAGAAATGTCATTGCCCAATAGATGAATGTTTCCATAAGAGAAGCATCACCATGGATGTTAATTAGCAATATGATCACAACCTCTTCTGAGATGCAGGAGATGATTAAATTATTATCCCACAGGGATAGTCGCCACAGGTCTAGACACATTAATGGAAAAATGTATAATGGTTTGCTGTGATATTACTTACATTGTATTTTATTGGTCAGTAGATTTCAGTTTTTATGGTGCCCAGACCCTGTAGCCTTCCTAAACACTGAATCCATGCAGTATTATTTTGATACATTATTTTAATATTTTATTTTTCTTATTTAAAAATAATTATTTGGTTCATAAGGAGCAGTTTAAAAGTTTATGGCCTCTTGTTTATATTTCTAGTCCAGCTGTGGTTTGGTGTCTAAATATCTGACAGTATATCTGCCATATTGTACTAGTCTTCTGTTAAATATTATAACAGACAGAAAAGTGTTTGTATGCATGTCATTTCAAGAAATATATATGTCTTGTATATATGGCAAGGAAGTCTACAGAGAAAAGTGCTCTCTATCATCTCCTTTGTTTCCATATGTTCCAAATACTCATTTTCTCAAGAACTTGAATACTTGCTATGAACTTGAATACTTGCTATGAACTTGAATTTCTGAGCACATAAACTCCAGGAGAGGCCAATGAAATTATTTTACCATGTTTGAATTTTTTTTTAGAAAAGAACAGAACTGTGTTGAAAGGTCATAAACATTCTTGTTTCTCCTCCCATGGGAACTGATAGAAAGAGACTGCAGATGATCACAGCTGACTGGAACTGAGTAGGCCCTGGTGACACTCTTCCTACTGGTTGAATAAAAATTAATTACTAGCTAGTGCTTATCTAAGTTTTGGCTAGCAAACCACAGAAACACTTCAGCTCTCACTACAAATTGATAAAATTAGGGATGACATTTATTAGGTGGGTTAGGTGATGACCTATTCTAAGTAACGGTTTGGGAAACAATAAAAGCTATAGCTACCCAGCTATTGGATGAAAGAGGCCACATGCTCTTCATTTTTCTATGTTCTCTATTGCTGATGGAACAGCTCAACATAAAAGGTCAACATGAAAAGATTATCAGAGCTAAGACCTATGATCGGCCTTAGCTTCCAAGCTGCAACTCTGACAACTCATGTCAACTGCAGAGTGACATAAGATGGGACTGTAACTCATTAGCAGGTTATGTTCTTATCTAAGACATTTAAAAGTGTGTAAGGACATCACTGATATGAATTATATGATCCCAGACAAGAAGTTTTCTTTTGTTTGATGGCTACCATTTTTGGCACAGCCTGAGAACTAAATTGTGTCTGAACTTCCACCACTGAAAAAAATGAGTTGCAGTAGCTGTCATAGCTCTTTAACTAATAATTATTCATGTACCCTATGGAACAGCACAGAGGTGGATCTTCAGGATTTGCTTATCAGAATGTTACACTATCTTTTCCAAATTTGTGAGCACATTTGCTTTCTTGCTATGTAGACTTTTTGTTTTCTGACACCTCAGTTACTTAACAGGATTTCCTTGTTAGAAATGTCTGTAAAAAGAATATTTACTTTTCTCAGGTTTTCAAGTGAGGAATCATCTGTTCAAATTATTTGCAAATGGATCCTTTATACGCATATATTATTGCTACTATTTTATACCAAATAGATAGATTATATAACCTTAATACTATAAAAGTATACTTGTTTTTTTCCCTGGGTCTTCTGTAATTCATTATAGCTGTTGAAATCTAGTAATCTGTAATTTCCTCTTAAAGGATTTGGATGATTTAGACTTTTTACCAATGTCTGTAGTGGCAGGACAAGGGGCAGTGGTTTTACACTGAAGGAGGGTAGATTTAGATTGGACAAGTTGCCCAGAGAAGTGGAAGCCCCATCACTGGAAGTGTTCAAGGTCAGGTTGGATGGGGCTTTAAGCAACCTGACCAAGTGAAAGATGTAGCTGCCCATGGCAGGGGGGTTGCACTAGATGACCTTTAAAGGTCCCTTCCAACCCAAACCCTTCTATGATTCTATTATTTTAGCAATTGAATGAGCAGTTGTTAAACTACAGTCTTTGGGCAATGTGACATTCCTGGTAGTCTGCACAGTGTAGTATACTGAAATCTGGGTGAGCTTTGACTGAAAAACAATTCAGATAATTAAGCCAAATAACAAGATTGTCGTCACTTTTTTTTTTTTTTTTCCCCCTGATGTATCAGATAGTATTTCTTCCATTTATTCAGTAATCGGAAGAATAAAAAAAAATAAATATGTGAAGTACATCATAGAATATGAAATATGTTCCTATAAGGTTCCCAAAATAAAACTTCATATAAAGATAGTACATTAGGTTTGTGGCAGTGTTACTTTGTCTTCTATCTTTAATCAGCTGGGTGGGTGGTGGCTGACAAGTCAAATCCAGTAACTAGCTGACACACAAAATGTCACAGTTCAAAGAAAAGCTTTGGCATGATTCTCATTTACTATAACATATCAGCTTTACACTTCTCTGGCAATGAAACACAGTCTTAAAATTAGGATGAATTACAGCTGCATCCCTGCTTTGATTTCTTAACGCTGTTCTTTGGGAAGGCTGCCCGAATGTGAAAGAGTCAGACCTGTTTGTATAACTTTTTGCATAGAGATTGCCAATAATAATTTGAGAAAATACATTGCACCATTGTCCATAAGAAACAGGAACAGCAAGTGGGGTTTTTAATCATAGTTATTTAAGGATCCAATCTGAGCCTCTTATTTGCAAGAAATAAAAAATCGCTGATGAATTTTAAAAGGGCCCAGAGGTTGCACATGCATGAACATTTTGGCTCAAAACATAGTGTGGTTCTGAAGTGAATCCCCTGATCTTCACCAGTTTCTGTGTATTGGTTCAGTTTGCAGAGTCATTATGGTGCACCCAAATCAAGATTTATTTTGGAGGAAAGCAAACTAGAAAACCACTCTGGGCACTCATGAAACATATTTCAATACCTAATGGAGACATGAGTCTCAATGATGACTAGCTCATACCACCCTGAAGTTCCCCAAGTGCTCCAGCATATACCAAGGAGTCCAGCTGATCAACAGTCAGAGCAGCAAGGCACCCCACTCTTCATATCTGGTTTTTCATTTTAAAGAAAATCCAGTGTCACTGCCATCACAGTATCCTCCTGGATTTGTTTCCATGGCTCCATGTCTTCATTAGTCCCTTCAATGGGACCTTTGGGTGTTGATCAAACTTAGAGTGTGGGCAGAGTTTGGCAACCAGCATCATGCCATCAGACAGAAATGGGCAGGAACAGAAATAAAGCTGCTTTTTGATTTGAGACTGTAAGAGGCAGAGCAGTGACATACTACTGTCTTCTGCATGAGAC